TTCGCATTAGGGATTAAAGCTCATGATATGACTGATGACGATGGTTCAGTGGTTTAACCCCCATAATAAATGTCTTATTCCTGTGTAGATACTTAAATGACTATTAATATATTTTTGTTTTCTAATTTAAATTAATCTATTTACTAAAACTTATATGAATTTATATGCTTTAAGGCAAAACATAGACGGACTCGCTGTATTGCATTGTATGTCAATCATTCAAACAACTTTATATAACCTATGTTTACAAATAAACGATTTCATTTCATTTCATTTCACATATTTCTCGTCGGCTGGCAAAAGTCTCATGCAAAAGTGAATGAATATTTTTTTATACTGGGAAAAAAAATTCCGTCTTTGTTCCTTTGTTTTTACTTTATACACCTAAAGGACTCCTATGGCAAGTACCTTTGCCGCGAGACGAAACTGAAAAAAATTTCACAATGTAAATATAGATCAGCAACCCGCGACTATCCACGGCTGCAATATGATATGAGTCTCCTCTATATAAGAGGAACTCAACATACATAATATCACGCCTTTTATCCCCGAAGGAGTAGGCAGAGGTGCACATTATGCCACTGTACAATGTAACACCCACTTTTCACTATTTATGTTATGAGTCCCATGTAATAGAGGGTGAGCCTATTGCCATATACCGGGCACAATTCCAGACTCCGTGCTACTACTAAGATTTTTTTTTTAAAAACCCAGTAATACTTTGCCCGACCCCGGAATTGGAGACCCCTTGCCCGACAGTCGCGCTTGCGACCACTCGGCCAACGAGGCAGTCTCGGAACTCAACACTCAACTAAACTTCTATTTATTTGATAAACTAAAAAGACAACGACAGCTACAATCAACTCAGAGCTATATTTTTTATTAACAACTTAACAACAGTATTGCCAACCTAACAATAGTATTGCCAATCTTTTTATATAGATTATTACATTGCTACCAACAATCAGAGAGTGCCGCTGCCCGGTCGTTATCGTGGGATCGGGTGGCGTCAAATGTATTGTCCTCTATCGACACTGACAAAGTTTACTTATAATGCAGGTATATTAATGGAATATATTGTTCTTATTTCAGAAACAACAAGTTCTGATAGATGTGTGTTCACTGGATAAACACCTCAGCTTGTTGCAACAAGGATGTGACATTACTGGAGGATTGTACCTCAAAGTCCCCTCTCTGGAGGGATTACTGCAGTACTTATTGGTGAGTGATAAGGTTCAATTTGCTGTACTTTTACAATAATCAAACAAAATAATAATTAGAATTTATCAGAAAAAGTTGTAAACAGTGAACGTTTTGTTTATAGATACACTCAATGTTACGTAGATTCTGAGGCCTTAGTACAAGTTTGTTTCATGTTTAAAGTAATCGTAACGAGTACGCGTTCGGCGCTCTGATTGGCCGACTCTAATGAACCAACCAATCAGAGCACAGAACGCCGTCTCGTTTCCGTTATTTTAAACGAAAAAGAAACTCGTACTAAGGCCTCTGTATATATAATAACTGCACGGTTGGTGCGGTGCCTGGGTAACCGGCTGCCGCGCAAGGTGTAGCGGGTTCGATTCCCGCACGGGGCAACTCTTTGCGTGATCCACTAATTGTTGTTTCAGGTCTGAGTGTTATGTGAATGTGAAATTGTATGATTGTAAACGCACGCGCAACATTAAAAAAAATTTAAAGTAATTATTTAACTTATTTCCATATGACAGTGGGTGTTCCTCCCCGAGACATCAGAACGTACGAAGTTGGTCCTGCCAGGCCGCGGCCGCGTGGACTACCGCGCCGCCTGCTTCTGTCACCGGGAGCTACTCACCATCGGATACGTGTGCTCCGTCTGTCTTAGTGGTGGGTCTACACGATAAGAGTTTTTTTTAATACATTACCCCCATACTAGGATATTCCCTTGTGTCGTGCATGTGTGCAAACATACGACAATTTATAGAACACTTTTTTTTTAAGGGGGGAAAATCATCGAATGACTGCTCCCGCCTGGGTGAGGCGGGAGGGAGTGTCAGACTCTTCCTGACTAAAAACCACCCCGTTCCTTCTCCTGCACGTCAAGCCGGAGCCCCGGTTACCCGTTAGGTTCTCCGCGACATTTATAGAACACTAGCTTTTACCCGCGGCTTCGCTCGCGTCACAAAAGGATAAAAGTAGCCTATGTGACATATACACACAGCGCCATCTATACCAATGATTTCGTTTTTCCTCGAGAATATGAAATTTTTCCGGGATAAAAAGTACCCTATTATTTAATCCAGACTTTTAACTTTACGTCTGCAAAAATTCAAAGCAATCGGTTTAGTAGTTACGGCGTGAAAGCGGAACAAACAAACAAACTCACTTTCCGATTTATAATATTAGTAAGGATACAGAGAGTAGAGACACACGGCCTCACAGAAAACCGACGTGAAGCAACGCTTGCGTTGTGTTTCGTCGTGTGAGTGAGGATACCGAAGGCCCAATTACCCCAATCTCCCCAATCCCTGAATCCCCAACGATCCTCAAACTCCTAATCCTCAAAAGGCCGGTAACGCACTGGTAACGCTTTTGATATTTCAGGTGTCCATGGGCGACGCCGATTGCTTACCATCAGGTGATCAGTCAGCTTGTTTACCGACTTATGACATAAAACAAAGTCGCCGCTCAAACCATGCAGTTAGCATGAATAAACGCTTTAATGTTTTTTTGTAGTCATTTGGACCGATAAGTACCTATATAGTTAATATAGTTTTATCTTTTTAGTAATTAAGATATAAGCCAAGTCTTACCTGTATTACTTTTATTGACTGTCCACTTCATCCCATTCGAACCAAATCCGTAAAAGACCTGATATCAAATTTTTAACATAACCATCTTTATTTTCAGTGTTCTGCAAGTTCAGCCCAATATGCACAACTTGTCAGTGAGTATACAATATATTATTATATTCATTGTCAAAATATCAATACAATGTTGCTTCAGCATCATCAACAGCCTATAAATGCCCACTCCTGAGCAAAGCCTCTTATCACGGAGGAGGATTGAGGATTAATCACCCGCTCAATACGGGTTGGCAATTTCAAAATTATAATTAGTGATTATAAGCCCAAGTTTCTTCAAGATGTTTTCCTTCACCGTTTGTCAACAACGTTTGTTGGTGTCTAAATAATTTTAGAAAGTACATATAACTCGTAAGAAGTCATATTGGTACTTGCGGTAGGTTTCGAACCCTCGTGCATGAGAAGCGGGCTTCTTAAACCTTCGAGCTACCACGACGATCATGTCAATAATGTTTACTATTTACTTAACTTTTATTTTAAGCTCTATTATTATAAGAAAGATTGTAATTAATTATTCCAAAATTTCAATAGACACGAATTATGAAATTGCAATACCCGTCAAATTTAAAATTAGAAATTTAAAAGGACATCTCAAAAAATTCATAAGATAAATTTACAATTCTTATGTGGGAATACTCATACGCTACTCAATTTTAAGTCGCGCTTAAGTATAGTTCTGTCTCTACAAATTCTTTGTGAAATGACAGAGATGGCACGATATTTAAGCACGGCTTAAAATTGAGTAACGTTTCAGTATTCTGGCATTAGAAGCCCTGTAATAATAATTGTCTGTCTTTCTTTCAGCACTGTCTTCAAAATTGGAGGTCCACTGCCCATCAAGCCGAAGAAGAAGAAAATGAAAGTTTAAATATTTGAATCTGTTTTGTACTGTAATTAATTAATTAATGTATTTGTAAATATAGATCTTAAGACATTTTATAAAATTATCTTCATTTAACTGCTGAATCCTCAAGTGGTCACCGGTGACCGCTCTCCACTAACTCCATTATAGACCTTATTTCCGATGTTTAGAGACTACATTTGTATAAACAAATTTCAGTTACTATGTATATGTTTTTTATGGGATAAGACGGCAAACGAGCAGACGGATCATCTGATGGTAAGCAATCGGCGTCGCTCATGGACACCTGGAACATCAGAGGCGTTACAAGTGCGTTACCGGCCTGTTGGGAATTGGGAATTAGAAGATTGTGGGGGATTGGGGGATTGGAGGGACTGGGAAGGGGGAATATCAACATAATAATTACATCGTTATGATGCTATCAGGCTATACATATGATAAAAGATAACAGATTTTTGGTCAATAGATGGCACTAATGTAACATGAGGTCCTAGTTGTCAAATTCAGTACCTATCCAATGATTTGACACAAGAAAATTTTAGACTGCTGAAGGCTTAGTACTAGTTTATTTTACGTTCATGGTATAATCGAAACGAGATCGCTTACGGCGCTCTGATTCATTGAACCAACCAATGTACAATTAATCCTTATTCCGTGGGTACTACTGAGTCAATCTTCCTTCTTCATATTATTTTGAAACAAGATCCAATACACTTGTTTATTTTTCTGCAACATTAGGCTTAATTGTTCTGATGATTTTTGGTTAGTTGCTTGTATACATTTTGTAGATTCCGAATCAACACGAGTGTAATGGTTTTGTTATGTATTTTGTGTAGTAGACTATCCATATCCTCAAATAGGCAACTTAGAGATGTTAAAATTGAATTGTCAGTCTATCTATATATATGTCAGCGAAGCTAGGTGATAGTGGGAAACTACATTTGGGCATACCTACTGGCCGACAGGTTAACCAACAATACAATTTGAACATTCTTTTTAAAAATTCTTATCCAAAATTATTATTATATATTATTATTAATGATTATACCAACCTACCTAATAAAGGCTGTGACTTTGACGTTGACTTTGAAACCTTACTCATTTTAAAATAATGAATGATCTAAATAAGTAACTTAAAATTTTAAATAAGATAAGTACCACCTAAAGAAGTGATTAATCACCATCCTCACATTACTTACCAAAAAAAAATACAGATTAACGGTCATCGCACACCTACACAATACAAAAATGTTGTAAGCGCGCCATTCGGCCACGCTCACCGCTTTTCTATCCCTTTGCAACCGGGGATAAAAAAATTCACATAGATCAGTAAAAACTTAGTCATAGTTTGCAAAGTGTTCAGAGACCCTGGAAAAAATACTGAAAAAAATCTCTTGCAAGGTGGTCTTCAGCAATCAGACCCTCACATACGTGAGGTTCAGGAATAATTTGCAAGTCGCACGATCGTGAGTATATGTAATTAATCAATTATTAAACACGAATTAATGAAATAAATATTATCAATTAAAATAAAACATGGATATTTTAGATTTCTAATAACTTTAATCAGTCTTTATTACAAAAAAACAGTATTAGTATTTATAAAATCACGTGTTACAAATGAGATCTTCTTAATTTATTAAATTACAACAAAAATAAACTATGTATATTACTTCTACATAATCAACAAAATCTTAATTTTTAGTCACTATAATCAATGAGATCAACATAATTATTGTGTACACAAATGATATACTTTAAAACAATTTTTATCACGAGATAAACATAAATAGACGTCGCATTATTAACACCTAATTTTTGAACGACTGCTGCAAGTTTCCAACCTACAGGTCCTTGGCGCTTTTATGTCGTCGCTGGTTGGAAAATGCTCATATCCATCATATCGTTTCTCTGCCGACGGTCTGTTGGCTGGTCTATATATTTTATATTTTCGACGCGGAGCTGCAGACTGATCTTCATCTTCATCTTCACTATGCCTTCGAGCTCTACTTGGTGTAGAAGATAAAGCATCCGCCACATTCAAGCGAAAATCCAGTAAAGGCTTAGTGTCTTTCCTTGCATAATTATTACTGTTGCAGTCGATTCTATACAGCCTCCAAGAGTTTACCAGCGCGAGGTCAAAAAAATGCGTCAATAATTTTAGGGTCCATTTTTTGGTTTTAATAAATGTTCGATAATACTCCATTTGTTGATCCAGTACATCTACTCCTACCATGTGTTGGTTATAATTTCTTACTATATTTGGAGCAGTTACGTCGACGTACCGTTTCATAGCTTTATCCCACCTTTTTACGAGAGTAGTTGCACTGGACCCAGTACAGTTTGATGCGAGTAACACGGATTTATTATCTTTCCACTTTACGATTGTAGTAGGTTCACAAACAAATTGTTGGCTTTCTCCACGAGTCATTTGAACGTCCGTTTTAAATTTTATCGTAGCTCGGTCAGGGATACGATTTAACATTATTGTCCCGGTAGAATGCAGATTTAACTTGTTCATTTCTTCAATTAAAGGTACTGTGGTGAAATATCTATCGTGATACACACAGCTACCAGGAGGAATACTTTTAGATAAATGTAGGATTACCGAAGGACCAAGGCCAAGATTCGTATCACCAAACATCGTCCTTGCACCTCTGTATATGTCGAAATCCAACATCAATCCCTCACTAGTCGTGAGGACGAAGTTTTTAAACCCTACAGGCCTAGGTTTGTTTTTCACTACCTGGCGTAGTTGACAGCGGCCTGTAAATGGTATCATCTGATCATCAATAGAGTAGAATCCCGGCACCCTTTCTAATTTATTACACGCACGTTTAATTTGATCGATCATGGGTTGAACCTTCCATAGTGGATTAACAATTTCAGTTGGAGGTGGTGAATCTGAATCAACTACGTGTAGTGCGTTACGAAGGGTAAAAAACCTGTCCCGTGACATTAAACCGCCGATAATTTCCAACCTAGTACCAGCCCTCCAATACATAGGCAGTCGAGGATAAGGAACACATCCCATGATAATTTGTATTGCAATAAGCTTCGCGATCTCACTGCTTGTACTTTTCAATTCACGGCCTGTAGAACGTAAGTAATATAAGTTAGTACAGTCACATATCCTTTCTATGAACTCGTTATCTATGTAGTCACGAAAGTACTCGATGGGACGCCTTACTGGTTTTGTAGGCAATGGAAGATAGTTGTGTAGTTTATCTACAAATGGAACCTGCTTCCATATTCTTTTCCTAATACTTGGTGTTGATGCCGATCTTTTTCCTTGAGAACGTGACGCCGTCACTGTTCTTCTTTCCTGAATACTGGTTGTTGATCTCGCACGTTCAGAGGATAAATTTACTGACCTTAATCGATGTAAAGGACGACGAGACGTAGACGATAATGATGGGGATGGCGACTGCATTGTTAATGGAGATTGAGTCGTTGTTGGAGAAGGATGTTGCGTCATTGAAGCAGAAGGTTGCGGCATCGATGTAGACGGAGGCTGTATCACTGGTGAACATATCAATGGTGATAATTGATGACTGATTTCTTCATCTTCATTAGGAATATCACCATCGCAGAGATCTTCGCAATCCAATTGATCAAACAGATTATTTAGTTCAAAATCCAAGTCATTGTCGCTAAAATCTTCAATCTTCGATAGATTTCCATCCATCAATTGTTCAAATATTGCATCATCCGTAATTCGAGCCCCTAATACAAAAGAAAATACAATTTTAATACTAAATGGAATCAAAATAACAAATAAAACACAAAACATCGAAATGTTATAATATCACGTCGTACGACCGATGTTGCATGATCGTGCGTGTTTAATTTTGACGATAAATTATTACAAAACTAATACGTTGCTTTACAAAAACTTGATGATTATATCTACATAAACTCGTATTTTATTAAAAAACAACGAATAAATATTAATAATACAATACAATTACTAAAAATGTATCTACTTACGTGCAGAGGCGCCGGGATTAAAAGACGCAGCCATCCCTCATGCGGGTTTCAACGAACTGGTAGGACGAAACGTGTGCGCAAAGTGCAAAACTATTTTTTGTTTCATTCTTAGATAGTGTCACGATAGATCGATGCCGGTTGCGTCCGCTAAAGTTGTTTACATATTTACCTAGAATTTTGTAAAGTCGAAACTCACGTTCATTCTAACTCGGTTGGAAAGGGCTATATTGACGTTAAAAATATAAATACACATACATAATATCACGCCTTTTATCCTCGAAGGGGTAAGCAGAATACGAAGGTGCACATAACGGCACTCAATGCCACTGTACAATGTAACACCCACTTTTCACGATTTATGTTATGAGTCTCATATAATAGGGGTGAACCTATTCCCATATCCCAATAACTATTCCCATATTCTAATACCGGGCACAATTCCAATTCGTTAAGAAATATGTCATACGACATACGATTTAAAGTTCACATTTAAATGATAAGTTAATAGCTGGGTTGAAGCCGTGCCGGAGACATGCTTGTTCACTTGTTGTGTGTGATGGCTGATGACCTTAACTTCCAATTCCAATAATTAAAATACGCGGTGCAATCATAAAAAGAAATTACGGTTCACAGCAGTTTCATTATCAGTGTCGGATATAGCAGTGATAAGAACTAATTACCGATAACAAGGCGATATCTATTAACTAGGTAGGTAGGTACGTACTTACCATTGCTTGATTAATAAATTACTACTGTTTTTTCGAAGGACATTTTTTAATATAAGTATAATATGATCTCTCCTCGACTGCCTCGTTCGCCGAGTGGTGGCAAGTGCGACTGCCGGGCAAGGCGTCTCCGGTTCGATTTCCGAGTCGGGCAAAGAAATACTGGGTTTTTAAAAATTCTCAGTAGTAGCACGGAGTCTGGAATTGTGGCCAGTATATGGTAATAAGCTCAGCCCCTATTACATGGGCCTCTTATCATAAATAGTGATGATAAGTGGGTGTTACATCGTACAGTAGCATTAAGTACCGTAATGTGCACCTCTGCCTACCCCTTCAGGGATAAAAGGCGTGAAGTTATGTTATGTTCTCTCCAGTCATATCGGTCTGCCGTCCCATCGAGTTCGATCTCGAGTCCATCGAGGAACAGAGAGTGCACCCGTGTTCGCGCGTACACTTGTGCACTATATAATATTTTCTGCGTAGACTAGTTACACAGACCATGATCGACATCGATCGGGAGATTTAATAATATGATAGGTGGTGTGCATGATAGGTAAACAGAAATAACGTTTAAGTCTATATAATAACTTTCATACATACTAAATTAATTATCATGTTTTCGGCTTGCTATCACGTAACGAGGAACTCTACTCAAGCCATGCTAGAGGGTCATATTCATGACGAGTTCCTCTTCAAACAGTTGCGTGAGTACGCCGAAAACATAATAGATAATAATTCACCTTTAAGTTGTTAAGTATTCCCGGCCGAGGTTACAGGTCAAGCGCAATGACTGCGACTTTGGCTCGAAGTTGGAGTTAGAACGGGCTGGATTTTATAATTATAGTCAGTATAGTCGACAGGATCTCGCTCGCTCCGAGCTGGAGGAGACCTTCAATGATTTCGATGATCCACCCCTCCCCCCCCCAATTATTTTTATCTAAACCTAGCACACTGGTAATTCTGAGCTTTAATAGGTAATTGACAAACAGCTTAATCCCGTTAATTGCTCGAAAAAAGTTCAACTTTTGAGTTTACTACATACAGTCGTACACTCATACAGACAGACACAGCTCATGCTTATGAGTTCCGGTCTAGCTTGAAATTAGTCAAGCTTCTTTTGTTTAATTCAATCAATGTGATTTGTCTCAGAATAATAATTAAGCCCCGTATTCATGGTAAACATTTGTTTAGCAACATAGTTGAATCAACGTGTTGCGAAATTGCTGTCAACATGTTGCTAACAACACTGCGTGTTGCAGAGTTGATAGCGTCATGTTGACAAGCTCTCGCCCGACAACCGTAAACATCAGTTTAGCTACAATAACACTACCTCATTTGCCAATCCTCGGGCAACATTTTAACGCAGACTGGCACGTAGACAATCTGTACCCATTAATTTTCGTGGGCTGAGCACCGCCGTGTCCTCAGGGAAGTGATCGGCGATGGCGACCTCTCGCGTCCGGGCCTAGTGCGGGCCATGATGCGGAGCGAGGGGGACTGGGATGCCGTTTCCTCCTTTTGCGAAGCAGTCATGCTAGCTAAGGAGGAGGCGGGACGCGTGAGGCAGCGAAGCGCTGCCTCCTCGCAACCCAGCCATCGCGAAGGACACACCGGGCGTCGGGGATCGCGGGACGATCTCCGGCCACCGTAAGCGCGGGCCTGCGAACGGCGAGCATGGGTGGCTCCCCGTCCGACCAGAAACAGACCCGAGCGTACGGCGCGTCGCGTTCCGCGCGCGCCTCAAAGAGCCATCAGACCACCAGAGATGGGGCCCAATAGGGCCGATGCCGATTCGGAGTCGCGGAGAACCTAACGGGTAACCGGGGCTCCGGCTCGACGTGCAGGAGAAGGAACGGGGTGGTTTTTAGCCAGTAAGAGTCTGACACTCCCTCCCGCCTCACCCAGGCGGGAGCAGTCATTCGATGATTTTCCCCCCTTAAAAAAAAAAAAAACCCATTAATTTAAACATAGTTGCTAGCATTGTTCTCACCGTTCACCAACAATGTTGATCAATTGTTCCTAAACAAATGTTTACCATGAACGAGGGGCTTTATCCATGCAACATAACGTCTAAAATCCCCGAACGGGTTGGCGTCACAATTACGAGAAAAGTCCCATTAATGATAGAATTTTAGATAACTCGTTAATAAGGTAGTTAGATTCAATCATATATGTCATAATTTAATATTAAGGAAAATTAACTAAATTAACATGATACAAGATCTTAGATGTAATCAATAAGCCTCATGATCCTCATCAATATCTAATTAAATTATAAACTTTTGATCTGCATCGATCAGTAATAAATTGTGCTACGTGTGGATACGCACAAAGAGTGCGTGCACACACACCGCCATATCTACTTTCAGAAACATGCGTTTTTCATCATTCATATTTTGATTTTTTATTTACTAGCTACTTCCGCGCGGTTTCACACGCTCTGCTCAGCTCCTATTGGTCGTAGCGTGATGTTATAGCCTATAGCCATCCTCGATAAACGCGCTATCCGACACAAAGAGATTTATTCAAATGAGACTTGTAGGTACGGAGATTAGCGCGTTCCAAACTCTTCCGCTTTATATAATAGTATAAGAGTATAAGATTTGGTGGATCGACGTTTAGCCACTATCTCGCCTGGTAGTAAGAAATGATGCGACGTACGATAGAGCACGTCTGCTCATAAACAACCTATTAACTCACGCCTTGAAGACACCCAGGTCTGACATAGACTCTGGCAAAGAATTCCACTCCTTAGCAGTACGCACAAGAAAGCTTGATGCGAAGCGCTTCGTGCGTGTGGGTGGGACATCCACCATGATGATGAAATCCATGAAGTTTTGTCGATTTATTTAAAACATGTTTAATAATTAGGTACGTCCTTTTGTCTCTACGCTATCTACCCATAATGATAATTGAAAACATTTCTAGGTAGTAATAAGATACCTCTCTCTTTTTAAGGTGGAGGCCATACTCCAGACAGCCTAAAGCTTTCCATTAGTCGCCAGACTATTACAACCTCATGTTCGAGTTTTACTGCCTCGTTGGCCGAGTGGTCGCAAGTGCGACTGCCGGGCAAGGGGTCTCGGGTTCGATTCCCGGGTCGGGCAAAGTATTACTGGGTTTTTAAAAATTCTCAGTAGTAGCACGGAGTCTGGAAATATGCCCGGTATATGGCAATAGGCTCACCCCCTATTACATGGGACTCGTAACATAAATAGTGAAAAGTGGGTGTAACATTGTACAGTGGCATTAAGTGCCGTAATGTGCACCTCTGCCTACCCCTTCGGGGATAAAAAGGCGTGATGTTATGTTATGTTGTTCGAGTTTTATTATGTCGACCCGCTTCTTCCAAGGTCACTTCCACGCTGTCGGTGAATCAGCAAACGTTTTTTACAGGGTGTGTTGTCACACAAAGAGGGGTATGAATTTTTTTTTAGCTAGGAAAGTTCTCAAATATCTTTGTCTATTTAGTTAAGTAAAGGTAGGCAGGTACTTATTTTATATCCATTTGATCTCTTTTCATCAGACCAAGGGCATAATAAGGTCACAAAATTCACCAGTAAATGCTAACAATTGTGACTGATAAAACAAATAATTGTAATCTATAAGTAATACGGGCTAATCATAAATAATAATATTTTTTTTTTTTTTTATGCCATAAGCCGGTAAACGAGCAGACGGATCACCTGATGGTAAGCAATCGGCGTCGCCCATGGACATCTAGAACACCAGAGGCGTTACAAGTGCGTCACCGGCTTTTTGGGGATTAGGAGTTTGAGGATCGTTGGGGATTCAGGGATTGGGGAAATTGGGGAAGGGGAAGGTAATTGGGCCTCCGGTAACCTCACTCACACGACGAAACACAATGCAAGCATTGCTTCACGTCGGTTTTCTGTGAGGCCGTGGTATCACTCCGGTCGAGCCGGCCCATTCGTGCCGAAGCATGGCTCTCCCACACTTAATATCACTTAATTAATAAAATGAAAGCGAGTCATTGTTGCAACAATCAGTCTTTTATTTCATGCAAATACGTAGATATCGGTTACAAAAACAACACAATCTTACAGAAGTAGGTAGCACTTCATATTACAATACAACACACACATTAAAATACGATTAATTCGCGGTACATACGTCGACTCGTATTAAATATAAAACAGAAACATTTCTATGTAACAGGATATCTTTTATAGAGGGCAAATGAACGAACGGATAACCTTATGGTAAGCGATTAGCGCCATAGACACACGCAACACCAGAGGAGTTGCAAATGCGTTGCCTGTCTTTTGGAGGGCCTCCAACAACCTCATCACACGGCGAATAACACAACGCAATCGTTATTCCACGCCAGTTTTCTGTGAGGCCGTGGTACCATTCAGGTTGAACCGGCTCACTTGTACCGAAGCATGCTTCGCACACTAGTGTAACCACAATTAAAAAATGTAACTTATCAGAATAAGTCGCAAATAATTACAGTTTTACTGATCAATTTGGTTGGACCCTAATGTTTTGTTCGCACTACGTTAGTATTTAGACAAGTAGCGAGTATTTAGTGGGTCTCTCTCGCTTGTCGGATTGGGGCCCTCACTCAAAGATTTAGTTGATCCTAGTGATATTTACGAAAACAATCTACATTTTAAGAGTCTAATATCTATTATGTATATGCACTATATATATCGTTACATAGGAAAGCTAGATATCAGTTGAACCCTACTTCAGATAAACACTAGGTATATAGATAAATAATACTTCACTGAACAAAACGTATGTACATAAAAAACATTTTAAAATCACCAACCGTTTGCTGTATCCGGAGAACTATCGATGATTTTATATCACGATTATAATTATCAAGATAAAGTATTATTTTCATTTTCAAAATATTAATCACGTTATCAGCTGGTTCGTTCAAACAAAAAACCACGCTATTATTACTGATTTTACGTCACATTAAGACTAATTTAACTTACATTAAAGCATTTTACATTGCGGTATACGTACCTACTTAAATGTATTAAAATACAATTTCATTAGATCACAGTCAACATTTTATAACGTCTAAACTATGTTCTGACATAGTTTTTCCTACTCACTGGATGGTCAATTCATTCCTTCTTACCTACAGTACTTAAAACTAAATATAATCTCATTTAAAAGTATTTAAAAGCAGAATATCTATTAAGAATAATCACAAAAGCTTACACTTATTAACATATAGCTTAAATCGTCAATAGGATATAAAACATATCATATAAATGTGATTAGATACAAATAAACATTACATCTACAACTAGATACATTGACAGTGTCATTTCATCAATATGAGCCACAACTTCTTGAACTTGCTAATCTCTTGAGCTAGCATTTAACAAGAAATTGGTAATATATGACTTAAGTGCCTTTTCCATCACCGCCTAGTAAACGGAGCTTATGAAAAGGTTCTTACTTTACTCTAGTTCTATTTTTATTTAACTACGAACTCTTCTCTGCCGTACTACAAATAATATCTAAGACTAAATTGCTATGACTTGTCTAAAATTTCAAAGGCATTGTCAATTTCTTCATCGGGAGATATTTCCTTGGCTACAGGTTTCACAGCATTGTCTAGAGGTATGTCAAACGTGGAGATATCAGTGGACATAGATTTAGGGTACCTATCTTCTCTGTCCACCGTACCTAGTCTAGTTTTGACTGGGGATTCCACAACAGCCGGTGCAGTGTGGCTCGGAGTGTTCACGTGGTACTCCCTGGTCGTTGTCTTCTCTATTGCGTCAATTTGGATGGTCTGTAATGATGGAAATTTAGAATTATTATTTTGTTCAAAAACTATATCTACCTGATTTGGTTTGCTTAACTAAATATGCTCGCGGAGCGAAAAAAATAATCAAAGTTTAAAATACAATTGCAATAGTAGCATGGAGTCTGGAATAGTGGTAAAATTATATCCTAGACGTGTGAACCTCAACTTTTACATCTGCATATATGAGAAAAAGGCACAGAAATGTTAGCTTCTGACATAGAGGCGTCACATTCGTCTGTTGCGCTGCGTTGCGTCGTGACGACACAACGTTTGATGGGAATATCATAAAAATATATGGAAAATGAACCTGGGGCGACACAACGCAACACAACGGACAAATGGAGGCTCCATTTAAGAAGATTTCCCCCTTAGAAGTAAGCATCTTAATAATGTCTACTACAATGAGTTGAAACATTTAAAAACCGCATTACCAATCGTACATTATAATCGTTTTCATTATATTAATTTTATATACTACGCAGTGTGTTTTAAATCACTACACAAATCCACTTATCAAGTCTCGACTTTGTCGCTAAAAGTACCTACTTATTTAATACTTTTGCATAACAATTGTAATGCAATTAATTAATTGAATGACAAGGTCAGAACATTGACAGATTTTTAGTTCATGGTGAAGCCTTCGACACCTTTTCTTAGCTAAGAATTCCAATTTGACGCTTAATTACTATTAATTTTGATATATTTATAACCAAAATAGTATAAATGATGTTTTATTACGTTCATGGTATCACTTTGTGATTCAGGCGTAAAATTACCTGGAATATCAAAAAGGACTGCCGCAGGGGTCTATATTGGGTCCTTTAATAATTGTGATGAAACAAATTCTAATTGTTAATAGAAAGTTATTGCCTTTTAAAGTTGACCTTTATAATTATGAATGTTTAAGTATTATCTTGTACAAACACTAGAAGGAAATTGTACTACATTATTATAATTATTTAATGAACGAAACACGTTTTATCATGTTTCCTGCTACTGTACAGTTCTTGGTAATCAAATCATTATAATAATCAGATATTAAGATCTAGTAAGTAGCGTATTTTTACACAGATACTAGCGCTAAGATCAAATGTTAAGAAAATGTAAAATGCAGTGATAAGGCCTGCGTTACTTTATCAATTTTGTTCAATCACCTATATTATTATTTTATTGAGTGAAAAACACAGCCCTAAAACATTACCGATAATGTTTACAAGGTGTGATGTAAGCAATTGCTTTATTTCTAGATGTACGTACCTAAAAACAGTCCTCATTTTTTGCTAAGATTAATTTTGACAATTAATGTTGCACGAGCAGTTCTGCAGTCAAAGTATCACATATGACATAAGTGAATATTTAACGTGACCTTATTTGTGTAATCAAGAAGCAACTATCAGATACTTGACTGGACTAGGCTAGACTCTATAGGGTGTAGATAGGTACTCTGAATTAAACCCTAACTCTATAACCTTTAGACCTTAAAAGTATTTTGCGTGGTCCGTTTTGCGAAACTATTTCTTCTTTACCTACTCTTTGTTTCTTATCTTTACTCCAAGCTACTTACTTGGGGTCAGCTATGCTGCTATGCTATAAGCTAGCAATATTACCTGTCTTGAATGTGCCTATCCATTCTCTCCTCAGACGTCATCCTATCATAAACTCATTCGTTTACAATCATTATTTTTTGAGGTCGGTAAACAGTTTAGTCATCATAAGTTTATTATATTTTATCGATTAATTACTACGTAACTTTGTCCCTGAATGAATATTATGTTATGTTAAATCTGGCTAATTGTCATAATACGTTATATGGCAATTAGCAAGATTTATTTCATAATTAACTAAAGACTTATAAGGCTAATCTGAGGATTATCCCAAGGTCGTTTTTTAACCAACTGTTAATCCCTGTTCTTGAAAATCCATTTTTTAAATATTGCAAAGATTTGTAACGGCAATATTTTTGACTAAGTACCTACTTACGTACATAATAAATTAATTCTATAAACCGAGAAGATAGATAGGTTTGAAGAGAGGTTTACGCAATAGCAATACTATCACTCATAGAATAAAAGATTTCTATCAAAATTGTATACTACTTACGTTGAAAATCGAAGCAGCTGGGCTATTTTGTAACCTTCAATTCGAAAGATCGAATTCCGCCATGTTGTCTGATTGTAATAATAATCTCAACCAATGACAAAGCGGTGCGATCGAGTTCATCTCGAGTGTCGAGAGTTCGAATTAATATCTTACGGAATACCCTAGCTGATCTTAACACGCAACCGCCGCGTAGGTCACCGGTGACCACCTACGTTAGCAAAAGATTTGCCTTCAACAGTTTTCTGTCGGCAGTCAAATACTTACCTAATATTAATCGCTTCCCTATACAGGAAAAACCAATTGATAAAAGTATTAAACACGTATGTGAGGTAAATTAATTAGAAATCAGTTATATGAGACTAGGAGTGGAACTAAAACAGTGTAAAGTGGACAGATAGAGGTACAATTAGAGACAAGTAGTCATTGTCTATTGTCAAAACACTTGTTTCGAGTATCTGTCTAGTGCAGACTTGGCTGGCAAACACAATATGCACTCAAATTACCTAGGTAGGTGATAAAATTATGTAATATCTAAAAAGAGAGTTGAATCAAAGGTTAAAGGTAGATACTGTTAATCATGCTAATTTCAAGCACTTTTTGAGTGACGCCTTACACTAAGATTTTCTTCTATCCATGGTGCGTATTTATATCCTTTCAAAAAAGCTCTGCGCAGACCATACCTAAGCTTTTGCAATATCTATGGCCCTAATATGTACCACAGATGTAACGTTTTTACAGAACAAGAATTTTCATTGTACCATTTGTTCTTTTTAAATCGTTAACAAAATCTTTCCACAGATACCGTATGACACATAAACCTATATAATTATGACTGTTTGTATCACACATAGGTGTCGTGGTGGCCCTTCTCATGCATGAGGGTGCGGGTTCGAAACCTACCAACAGCAAGTACCAATGTGACTTTTTCCGAGTTATATGTAGGTAATTTCTAAGATTATTTAGACACCACTGACTAACGGTGAAGGAAAACATCGTGAGGAAACCTGGGCTTATAATTTCTAATTATAATTGAGCAAGCGGGGTGATTAATGCTCAAACCTTCTCCGTGTGAGAAGAGGCTTTGCTCAGCAGTGAGCATATAGGTTGTTGATGATGATGATACATAGATAAAATAAAGGTACATCATCGTTTTGGAGACTCAGTTGTCAAAGAACAAAAAAGGTATACAGGTACTTACTACATGTAATTTACCGACTGCTTATACATACATAGATAAATTAAAGTAGAGTAAAGTAGTAAAGTATCACAATATCTAGTCCATCTGGATTAGAGGAAAAGTCGCCACACCCACAATTAATTTATACAATATCTAGTCCCTACTCTAAACTGATGACACATTTGATAAAGGCAATATTCAATAAATAATTTCTTGGCTAATCTCATCTATATATACTATACAACTGCGTAGAAGACAGTAGCGTAAAAGAAAGTGCGCAAAAGGTAAAACTTTCTATTCTTCAACTTCTTTTTCACTAGGATTTTCTCCTGTCGTGGATGTGTTTACAAATCACACTTTATATTAGATGGTTGAATGGGTTGGTGGATCACAAAAAAGTTGCTTCGTACGGGAATCGAACCCACACATTGCGTGGCAAACAAATGCCCAACCACCGTGCCAAAATCGCATAAGCAACCTATTCACTCGGGCCTTGAAGACACTCAAGTTATACCGTGTTATGCTCATTTTTCGTCATTACCCATAAAGAGGAGGTAAAGTTAAAATACTCACATCTCCATAAAGCTCCAGAGTTAAAGAGTGTCTCTTCTTGTTAGCTTGTCTCATCCTTCCAGAACGAGAGATAGACAGCTGCCTCCTCGTGCCATTCTGAGGGGACTCGCTTCTATCATCCTCAGACTCCGGCTCATAATGAGGGGCCTTCCGCCGATCCGTAGTATGAAATATAGACTTCAAAAACTTGGCCATCTTGTCTGAAAATTCAATGTCATTTATTAACAGACTTCAAAAAAAGAAGTTGCGAAAAAAGAGTGTGCGCGATTATCTCACGATTGGCTAAACCGTATTTGATGCGGTTTTCAGAAGAATATTTGTTACACTTTTTTCTTAAGGGTGGAAAATCATCGAATGACTCCTCCCACTTGGGTGAGGCGGGAGGGAGTGTCAGACTCTTACTGACTAAAACCACCCCGTTCCTACTCCTGCCCTTCGAGCCGGTAAACCGTTAGGTTCTCCGCGGCTCCAATTTGTTACACATAGGAGAAGGTTTACCGCCTTAAAAAAAGAGGGGTTTGAAATCGGTTCTTTTAAACGTAGCTTACAAAAGATTATTACGTCACTTTTAGTATTGCATGATTAAGAAGCAATTGTACTTATTAATCTAAAGATTAAGGGTATTGGACTAAAGATAGGTGGTGTATAGGATTAGGAGACTCCATTGGTTTATTTGAATCGATTACCTAATTGTGACTATTAATTGGACGCTATTAACTACTGCATTATCTACAGACAAGATTATCTTTAGGAAATTCTAGATTGATATACAGATAGCTACTTAGTTTTACCAACATGTAAATTGATAGAGCAGTTATTAGCAAGAAAATACAAAGCATAGAAACAATACTACACATAACATATGATATTTAAAGCGGAAACCTGACACGGTACATATCTGTATGGATTTGCGCGTCACGAATTATCATCATAATATCATCGTGCTTAGTGTATGCGACAAATTACCTTTAGGCAACACTCAATACCTATCTATAAACCAAACATTATCATTTCGATTAAGAAAGTATTACATTTACAACGTTATCAATTCTCATTACCACGAGTATTGAATAACAATCTGTAATATTGTAATTTAATTTTGGAAATTAAAAGGAAATTATATCAATGTGTGTCATTGTTAGAATTATATTAGGCAATGACCTCAAGTCCTCAATGATTACCTTATTTGTAGTTATCTATATCGACACAGGTATAAAACAAAAAACGGGTCAAATATTAGATAATCCTAATTAGATTTAAATTAGTTTGTAATTCGTATAACTTGTCTCTATTCCAAATTTATTATGTTTTAGACAAAAACCTTTTTTGTGCTTTCGATGGTTTTCTGTGCTTATAAATTTGTTTATATAATATCATTTTACGTAATGGCAAATCAACAAACATCAACATGAAAATGCATAGATATTATTTAATTAATACCACACACACTATCTAAAGTTCCCAATCAAGGTAATATAGACCTACGTATACGTAGAAATAGATTACAAGTTTACTTATTTCGAGCACAAGAATTAATCTTATTGTTATTACTGTACATGTAGCTATCACTACTTAGACTACAGAAGTAAATATTCGTATAAAACTTACAGGTTCGCAAACCACCGTTTCCTAGATTAGCTTGTTTGAAATGCACTTTCCGGATTGATAACACACGCGAAATAAAACAAAGATTGTTAAACACTGCAACACAATGTGCCAACGCTTTACTATTTACCATAATTTCATCTGCGATAAGATATGAGCGATATATTATCACCGATACCGCTTTTTATATGATAATACCCTTATCATTATCTTACTAATGGATTGTATTAACTTGATTTCTTCTAGATAGGTACCTGTAGTTGCAATATTTTATTTGCAAATTGTTGTTTTCGTATTCTCAAGTCGGTTCTTTTTTAATTTCCTCATAATCATGTTTTTAAATCTATTTTTTTAATAGATTAGGGTTGGGTGACGGTTGCACTTATGTTTAGGCGTATCTCAAATCTTATCTGCTAGAATTAGGTAACAATGGGTTACTGTTACCTAACAATAAAGAATAAAGTCAATTCAATGCGTATAGAAAGATGTATTTTCAAGGCCAAGACCTTCTGATATTGGTTATTTATATAATATCTACAAGTACTGATTATCGTAATGATAGGTAGGTAACAGTTTACGATGTTAACATTTCCTTAATTTTAAACCTTATTATTAGGTCTTTATGTTGCAAATTAATCGTAACTTGAAGATAACAAGTTTCAGTTTCGTTAATAAATCTTTATAAAAGTATTAATAATACTGTTTTCCTTACAATAAAACTAAAAAACCAATAAATTCAGTCATTCAACAATCGAAATGTCCAACATTGATACGTAATCGATACCTATACAATATTGAATTGACATGCATCAAACATCACTGAATAAAAATAAACTGGCGACATCTACACACGACCCAAATAAAACAACAAACAGAGACTCAATAAAAAATAATATTTATAATCATTTTAAAATGTACAGTAGACAAAATAATGGCTATAAGTTTTATGAAGCTTCGTTTTATACAAAATTGCGTGCGAATCGTTTTAGATTCTCAAAAGACTAGTAAAACTAACTGCTTGTGGTTAGCTGAACGATAAGTGCAGTTTAAAAAACAAATCGTTTAAAAATGGTGTTTAAACTTCCTGTTCTGCGCGTACGCAAACACTGACTTATGATCCGATATAGTGTTTCGTTTTATGAAGTGTAAATTAGATTTTTCGTCATCTATTAAGTCCTTTAGAGGCTTTGAGAAATTTTTATTTACTTAAATTAAGAATTAGGGGAATATCTTATTTTATTCTTGAATGACAACCGGAGTTTTGTCGACTACACTGCCAGTGTCATTAGGGCAACAAATATTCCGAATGAAGCTCCGAATCGTCACAGCGAAACAATTTCGAACTAAATATCTAAAGGCTAAAGTTGAAAATTGTAACGCGCATATAGATTTTTGAAGTGAAATTAAATGCAAATCAGAACCAGGCTATGTTAAAAAGGACGATAAATGCTCATATAATCGAAGATTGTTAAAATATTTTTACAATAAATACATTAGGTACTTATTAGAATTTCATTGTATTTGTTGACAAAATTTTAAAACTTCTCTAAAACGTAAAAACGACTCGATGAAATTTTTGCAGATAAAAAAAAGATAACTTTGGTTTAATTGACGCAGATTATCTATCTTTTTTTAATATTACGAATTATATACGAGTAAAATGTTGACTGCTCAGGATCTTAATATTTTTGACTGTGTTGCCAGTAATGCTAGTTAGTCAGAGAATAACGGAAGTTTTTTTATGTAGGTAACGAATATTCAAACCACAGATACCGCTTAACTAGTCACAAATTAAACATTGTAATTACTAAATTACACAAACCAAAAATTTTAATCAAATAAAATTATACACTTCTCAATTTAAATTCCAATTAACTGATGGTATAATTGTACCATTTTTTATACAAATTCTTAATTTATTAGTGAAGAATGAAAATGTATCAATAATTACGTAAGAAGGAACAATTTTAAAATAGAACAGAATAAAACAAACATTTCGATAATGTGATATACTTCAAAACTACTGAACAGATGTTGATGAAATTATTGGTGTTGCCTATAATAGTTTTAGTATTGAACATTTCAAATGTATACTACATACAATAATAACATAGGCTATTTTACTCGCTAGATTTTTGCACTAAAAGTGGACAGATAGAATAGTTTTTAAGGAAATAGACATTAGAGAATTTATCAGTTATAAAAAATAAAAATTTGTTATAAAACTACTGTTGAGGTCAAATGATACCTTTTCACAAAAATATGCCACTGTGTAGTCTATCAACCAAGATTTTAAAACCTTCACTAACAAATAAAGATACATTTTATATTGACAAACAGTAATTGACAATTCGATTCGTTACAAATCGATGCACAAAGCACACATGAATATCGAAACGTATTTCGAAACATAACTAAACCGATTATCAATCGATTACTGTCAAAAATCGCCTAAGCGTTAATCGAGTCAGTTATTGGTAAAATTTAATATTACTAAAAGCACCGGGCTTAGGAAGGTAAACGATAGAAGATATTAGTATATCTAAGTATTTACAAACCATTTATTTTAATTTCTAATCGCAAAGGCACTCAATCAATTCATCTATTTTAAATTGGAACATTTTTTTCTATCTACGAATTATTTTTAAATTTAAAATTCCCCATCCTGTCACATTATATCATTTATAAATTACTATAATTAAATCTAACTAGACGTATAGTACTGAAGATTTAAGCTGAAACGTTTAGCGAAAATGCTTTTAAAGTCCTTATTTAAATCGCTATACGGTTGAATTTGGCACGCTTTAGGACAGCTGATGGACATTATCAAGAGTTATTTTATATCTAGCAAGAGCACTACTATAACAATTTTATAATTTACAAGAGTATTGTTTAAATTATTTAAGATAAATTAAGTGTAGTTTAAAGTTTCAATAAAAAAAAACGACTTAATAGAATTTAAGCGACACCAGCGCCAACTTGCGAGAACTAAAAATGACAAAATAAAAAAACAATTATCTGGAGAATGATTTTATGTACGTATTATTAAATAATTCGTCAAACAATACTCTTTTACTATGGATGTATATTACAAAAAGTCATTAAGTATAAAAAATAAACTGGTAAATATTCTAATTTAACTAATATTCCGCCAACATCTCCTCTATCATAGTCGGCGAACCATGGCCAGATTGTGGTGAAGGTAAGTTCGCAGATTGTACATTTTTCATTACTTTATGGTTATTGCCATCATTTAGTAATTCATGTATTCTAGGAAGTTAGTAACATTTATGTTTTTCGGCTTCGTTTGGCGAGGAACTCAACTAATTTCAAGCCGCAGTAGAGACTCGTCTCTGTCTCGTCTCGGAATATTCCTCGTCATTCAATTACGTGAAGAAGACGAAAAATATAATATAATACAAATTAATTAATATGTCTCACGAAAGTTATAATACAAGTAAGTTAACGTAAGAATAAGAAAAGGAAGTTGTGTTGAAAGTTAAAAGCAAGAAAATTACAATGCTTGAACTTGTCCCCACCAGGAAAATTCTGGCCATGGTTTAGCCGCTTAATATAGATTAGTTATTTAATATCACTAGCATAATTATTAACAGTAGCAGATAACAATACAATGGAGTCTTTATTATTAAAATATACTCTGCTTTGAAACGAACACAAACTACTAATCTTTAAGAGAATTTATTCAACAGTATGATCGATAGATGGGACTAATCTAAAAAGAGGTTATATGTGTTCAATCACGGTAGTTATCAAAGATTAGTTGTCCAATGGAAGGATACTAGGAAATTGTCTATTGGACAATCAGGTTCTCACGCTACAATAGGGCTATAACTCACCAGGACGCCATAGCGACGTAGCCAGCGACGACGCCAAATATATTGTATTTAGATGTATGACGGTTAACTCACTTGGAGACCGCCTGGCGACGTACATCTCAATACGAACTAGTTGGCTACGTCGCTGGATACGTTGCCATGACGTCTTGGTGAGTCATTTGTAAAGTACAAAAATATTGCTTTTATTTTGATAGTCTATGTACAATCACACGGATATAATGATATAATAGTATGAGAAATAATTATTATTTCTCAGACTTATATTCATAAGCATAAACTTTTAAGCTTCCAGTAGTCGCTTAAAGATTTTTATGACAATACAGTATAGTCATAATATGTTCTTTGCTACCAATACTATCCTTATACCAATGAAATAAAAGCGAAAATCGGTTGAATAAATTCTAAATAGGATTGTTAGTATGTATTATTTTCAAATTGATTTTATAGCTATTGTGTATAGTCATAATTGACAATTTTACTATGGAAGAAACATTACTTTATTATTTGGAGCACCAACAACTATTCGTTTAATAAAAATATAAATTTTCTGTATACCAATAACAGATTTGCACTGTCAAACTGTCACTAAATAACTACTAGCATATTTACTATTTCATAGTCACTAATAACAGTCCTATATTTGTAAAATTTTACATCTATAGTCCAAGAGCCAGATGCTACATTCGTACATTATCTTGAAAGCGACGCAGAGGCAATATCATAGCTGTTTCAACTTCAAAATGAAAACATTTATTAATTGTGTCATGGACGCATGAGCATAAAATGTAAACATTTATGTTATTAATTAACGGATATGTTCCGTACAACAATTTAAAATATTATTCATAACGTTACTATTCAACATTATTTTGTAAATATTGATATTAATTGCAATTCGTCACCGGTGGGGTGAAGAGCCCGGTCTATTTACATTAACATCCAATTAACGAGTTTTGACATACATATAAATGTATAACAACATAACAAATGGTTAATATCATAATAATTAATACAAACATGTACGAGGGAACAATGATAGGATTAATAGACTACATATCAAACCGAAACTTACAACAATCTTATTTATAAAAACTTGACATTTATAAACATTCTATAAATGGTTTATAAATACTACACAATACACATCTTTGTCTCCCGTTTTCAATATGGCGCGATTTTATTGCGAGTTTTAGATAACGAATGATTCATCGCACCTGTCTCCCCGACTAGCTTACCAATATCAATAGTGACTGGACTCACACACATTTTTCACACCTCAAGAACGGTCATT